CACCAGAGCTGTTTCAGTGCTATGATGAGCTCTAAAGCCAGACTGAAACTCTTCAAAAAGTTTTTCTAAAGTAAATCACGTTTACAACCAAGTTTTAAGAATTTGTGAAAACATAAACTGACAATTGACTTTATTAAAGGGATTTTATTAAAGCAGTAAAGATTACAAAACTAATCTCATTTATGATCATTTCCGTCAAATGAATGTTGTGTTCCTGATGTGTTTGTTAACAGCTAGTAAGCGTGTGTCCAGTAAGGCCAGTGAGTACAAAGAGGAGCTAAAACTGGCTGTGGCCTGGAATCGAGTGGACATCGCCAAAGCTGAACTCTTCAATGGAGACATACTATGGAAGGTAATTTTTTTAATGACATAAAATATGTTTTTGCTATTAAGGTGAGCTTCTAACCTGCCTTCATTTTTGAAAATAATATACAGTAAGTTCTCTGATCTAAACTGAAATTTGAACAATTTATTAGTTCTTATGTCTTAACCCCAAGATCAGAGCAAATTATGTAAATAATTAGAACAAAGGGCTGCAATATTAAAAGCCTGAGGTGAAACTTCTACTGTTGCCTCCAATGATCTGCCTTCAATATTTTTTTTTTTTTTAAACACATTTCATATCACAGTTTCTCAGTACATTAAGACAAATCAAGGGTAGATCTTTCCCACTTGGCTTAAAGGTTAAAACGTTTTCCGTGATGAACAGGTTATGATTAGGATGCTGCCCAGAAACGCTGTGTTTTTTACTCCAACAATGTTTTAAAAAGGTGCTTCGATGCTCTAAGAACATGTCAGATGGAGCCTCATCGCTTCTTTCTAGAGGACAATCAGACCCCACTACAAAAGGTCTGTAAACACCCCTTTGGCCACAGACATGACATGCTAATGCTAGCATGCTTCCTCACATGATGACTGGTTCGGTTGAGCTACATGAAGGGTCACAAGACTGACAGGCTGATAAACAGCTGCTCCCTTATCATGGGCCTTCAATGTGAAAATGGTTATTAGAATACTTTAGTTTCTGGCTGAAACTGACCCTGGAGGGATCCTCACATGGGCAAGGAAGAGACATTCTGGCAGGGAATAACTGAGAGAGGTTGTTATAATGAAGCAGCTCAGAGGAATGAAGATGATTTCCCAGTGTTTTATTCTCATTCCACTGTCACAAGTACAGAGCAACGAAATTCACTCTCTGCATTTAACCCATCCCCTTGGGGAGCAGAGGGCCGCCATTGTGCGCCCCCCGGGGAGCAGTGTGGGTTAAAGGGCTGGTTATCCTCCCACAACAGTGTGTTGCAATGAGCTTGATGCAGATATTTTTGATTTATGGCCACTATTGAAGCGTGGTCAGCGCTATGTTACATGTCCTTCTCAAAATATTAGCATATTGTGATAAAGTTCATTATTTTCCATAATGTAATGATAAAACTTGAACATTCATTTATTTTAGATTCATTGCACACTAACTGAAATATTTCAGGTCTTTTATTTTCTTAATACGGATGATTTTAGCATTCAGCTCATGAAAACCCAACATTCCTATCTCACAAAATTAGCATATTATGATAAATGTCTCTAAACGAGCTGCTATGCACCTAATCATCTGAATCAACAGATTAACTCTAAACACCTGCTAAAGATTCCTGAGGCCTTTAAAACTCCCAGCCTGGTTCATCACTCAGAACCCCAATCATGGGTCAGACTGCCGTCCTGACTGCTGTCCAGAAGGCCATCATTGACCCCCTCAAGCAAGAGGCTCAGACACACAAAGATATTTCTGAAGCAATAGGCTGTTCCCAGAGTGCTGCTGCATCAAGGCGCCTCAGTGGGAAGGAAAAAGTGGCAGAAAACGCTGCACAGCCAGAAGAGGTGACCAGACCCTGAGGAAGATTGGGGAGAAGGTTCGATTCCAGACCTTAGGGGACCTGAAGCAGTGGACTGAGTCTGGAGTAGAAACATCCAGAGCCACCGTGCACAGGCGTGTGCAGGAAATGGGCTACAGGTGCCGCATTCCCCAGGTCAGCCACTTTAGAACCAGTAAAAGCAGCAGAGTTACCTGACCTGGGCTACAGAGAAGCAGCTCTGGACTGTTGCTCAGTTTTAATCGTTATTTGGAAATCAAGGTGCCAGAGTCTGGAGGAAGACTGGGGAGAAGGAAACGCCAAAATGCCAGAAGTCCAGAGTCAGTAGCCTCAGTCAGTGATGATCTGGGGGCCATGTCAGCTGCTGGTGTTGGTCCACTGGGTTTTATCAAGGGTGGGGGT